CCCCCCAGCCGAGGGCACGAATTTTGTGCACTAGGCCTCTAGTATTTAAAAAAAGACTCAAGTAGCCCAGAAGATACAAAAACTATGACTTGTTGGCCTAGAACTTCATATCACCTGCCCCTGTTACAGAGGTGCCATTTCCTAAGCTCTCACCTATGGCCTCATGGGAAATTACCTATAACCAACTGATGGAGAAGGAAAAATCTTGAACCCAAGTCTTGATCAAAGATAGTTGCAATGCTATATGGGAGTTCTATAGAAATGAATCACTGTCACAATACAGTCCCTCTCAGGAGTGACTCTGAAAATACAGGAATAGCCACAGGAGGTTCAAGAGTGTCAACCAGCTTCTCTTTGGCCAACCCACTGCTTGCACAATAAGCGAATGAACAAAGTGGCGCTGGTGGGAGGCCCAGAACCTGTACATGGATCCAAAAGCAGGTGCTCCAGAAACCAAGGGGTAGAACTCGGCTTAGCCTCTCTCACCATCGCTCTAAATGACCCAGTTGCAGAATTTGTACTTTCTGTCCCTACAACCTTGTATCTGCTGGGTTTGGAGATCTTGATTCCCAGAGGAGCATTGCTTCCCAGAAATCACATTAAGCATTTTACTGAACTGGAATTGAACTATTTTTAACTCAGCATGCCAATGGACAAGAAAAGGAAAGAATTTCTATACTGTATGGTTTGACTGTCATTCCAGTGGTTGCTACACAATGGGGACAAATACATGTACACCTACATTGCAGGACTCACTGAGGTACCTCTTGGAGATTCTGTGCCCAATGATAGTTATAAATAGACACTCACAGCAACTATTGCCTAACAAAGGAAAACAACAGAGAGTTCATGTATACCAGGGATGAGGGACTGTGCCAACATAACAAGCAAGCAACCTAGAGCAGCTGATGTACTGACTAAAGGTGAGAGATACTAGAATGGGTGACAGACAAGGGAGTTGATAAATATCAGCTTTGATCCTGGGTCCCACTGCAGCAGTGAAAACTTTTGCTTGGTTTCTAACCCTCTTTAAAATCTTAGGTGATTGAAACTTACCACTACTTGGAAGGACTGGCCTTGCACCTCCTTTTTTAAGAAGTAGAGAAAGCATCTTGTTCTCATACAAGATCTAGGATATTATAACAGGATGCAAGTGAATCTGATTGGTGCAGGGATGTAGTATAGGAAACTCAGTCTATGCATCACCCTAGATCTACTCCATTCCACCCAGACAGCAACCATTTGCAATGCTTCTAGCTATCTGAAATATACCCACAGTATTTAAGTCTCAGCCACTGCCACTGAACACTGAAGGCCCGCTACATACTACAACCTGGACATATAGGAAGTTAATGCCTTGTAAGGTGAACTTTACTACTGAAAGACAGTAGATGGGAAGGACACCTGGAGGTACATTTCTCACCTTTCCTTCTCTCCGATAGACTGCTCTGAGGTGTGGTGTTTCCATATGGCTTCTCAGGAGACATCCTGCAAATCTCAGCATCTGGCTGATTGTGTCAGGAAGATATGGCAATCTTATTAGCTCATCCTCTTGAATTTTTTTCTTTCTTTCTTTCTTTCTTTCTTTCTTTCTTTCTTTCTTTCTTTCTTTCTTTCTTTCTTTCTTTCTTTTTTGCCTCAATTGTCTTTATCCTCATTCTTGCTTCCCTAGGAAAGCACCCACCCACCTCACCCCACCCCCCAATACAATGTTAGCATGTTATATTTTGCAGTAGGTACTTTTTCTGTAATACTGAGCAAGAAGTCAGCTATTTTTGTTTCTTTTAAAGAGTGGGTGATTCAGGACTCTGTTTCCAATCTGAAATTAAGGAGCTTAGAAGTCACCACTCCATCCTAATAGCAGTTATAAAGCAGAACAAAATGAAAAATTAACAGCTTTTTTAAAAAGATCTGTCACAGATATAAGGTCACAGGGCAAACCACTGCTCCCAAAATTGGAGAGAATTTTTATATTTGAATACAGAAAATCACAACTTACCAGAGCAGAAACCCAGGAACAGTCACCTCCATGGGAACCAATGCTAGAGTAGGAAAACCTGTAATGGCTGAATTACTGGAGGCTCAGTGTGGACAATCTGAGAATTAAAAACTCCAGAGTGAACCAGTCACAGGGCCCCCACACATTTGTGAGTTTTACCTCCAGGAGCTCCACTAGGTCCTCACAGTGACTATGGAGAAAAATCCCCTCAAGTTTCCAGCAGCAGAAGGACAAAAAGAACCATGTTGAAATATGCCAGAGGATTCTGTTCTTAACAAGCCTGGTACCTATTTGCATCCAGTAAACATTTGATAAATTGATAAGCGAATGTAGGCAAATGTGAGAGAAAACATTTGTCCAATGTCTCAGTTTGTTGTGTGTGTGGAAGGAGAAAAAAGCACAGGATCTTGTACCAGGCCCTGAGCTCGGGAAAGGGCACAGGTCTAAATACTGCCCTCAGAGATATAAAAGTCCAGTGGAGGAGGCAGACGTGTGAACAGATTGATACAACAGAGGGGAATTGGAGACCCCCAAATGGAATCAAGTAATTCTAGATGGGCTGGGTACAACCAGGGAAGAGAAGATGACAATCAGAGAAGACTCTCTAGAGCAGCGGTTCTCAACCTGTGGGTCGCGACCCCTTTGGCGGTTGAACGACCCTTTCACATGGGTCGCCTAAGACCATCCTGCATATCAGATATTTACATTACGATTCATAACAGTAGCAACATTACAGTTATGAAGTAGCAACGAAAATAATTTTATGGTTGGGTCACAACATGAGGAACTGTATTTAAAGGGCCAGAAGGTTGACAACCACTGCTCTAGAGAATAGGATCTTCCAGGATACATCTTGGAAAATGCAGTGTGCAAAGAAGGAAAGGGCATTCTAAGGTAGAGGAAACCAGGCTGTAGAAACAGACAAGGGCACCAAATCAAAGAAGACCTTTTATGCAACAATATGGAATCTTATTCTATAAATATGGGGATCCACTAAAGGCTTTTAAGCAGGAAAGATGGCTTGATCAGATTTCTGTAAAGAAACTTTACTCTGTCTTCTGTGGATATTGTCACTGCTATAGACAACTCTCCCAGCCACCTGTCACTGCTCAGCCTTGGAATATTCCATCTAGCTTATAAGAAACAAGTCAAATGAGAAAACTTTGAAACAACATAGTCAGAGACTGAGGGCTTCCTGGACTTGCTAGCTCGCAAAAGGAAGAAAAAAGTTGCAAGCCTGCTACTATCTTGCTTGAGATCTCACCTGCTGTGTGATTTCCTTGTGACTGTGTGAGTTCCTGATCCATTCTACTAAAAACTGAAAGAAACCATGGTTTGGAATCTAATCTGAGCACTGAAAGTTTGTGGTAAAATTGAAGATGTATTGCCTCCTCTGTGGGAAGCCACCCATTGTCTTCACTATTAGAGAAGTGTAAACAAGGATCCTGGAATGCTGGTGAACCTTGAGCCACTGGCAAGGGCCAGAGCTATGCACCGATTGTTTAGTCCAGACAATGGGGGCTCAAGCTATTTCCTGACCAAATAGTCTCAGAGTAAATCTTTCTAATATTTACTGTCCTTTAAGTTAGTCTGTCTGTTACCGCAATTAACTGCCTAAGAGCTAGATGTGTATCCAAAATTGAATAAAAGGTTGGCAAGGCCTGGGCACCAGTGGAAGTCCTTTTCCTTGCACTGGGCTTTCCGCCTGGCCCCCGATATTTCCAAATTATTATTTCTTGTCTCGTCTCTTTCATTTGCGTGCGGCCCCTTCTCCAGATCCCGAACCCTGAACCACGCGGGACGTGGAACATTCACACTCCTCTGTCTTATTAGGCCATCCTAAAACAGTAATTATGAACTTGCTTTCTCTTCTCTTCCTAAGTTCTATTAGTAGAAGAAGATTGCATGTATGGGCAACAAACACACATGGACACCAAGGGGTTGGTCTGATAACCTATTATTTGGCACCAAACGTATTTTACTACTAGATCACTTTGTGACAGGGTTGACATCCAAATGTAAACTCCTGGATTTCTGTAAGAACACAAATTCTGTCAAATTTCAAAAGGCAGGCAGCTTCATTCTATCTCTTTGCAAATGAATTTCAATACATTTCATCATGCCAATCTCTTTTCAGACAAGTACACTTTAAAAACAAGCCAACGTCTAAGGATCAAACTTTGTGGGTTCAGAACTCCCAAGAAGACAAAAACATCTCAAGTTCACTAAGGGAATGAAGATGAGTAACTCTCCCTCTCACCATTACATTTCAATCCCAACCAGCGTCCCAGTACTTGTCCAAAGAGAGGAAGACCCTCAGCATTGGGGGAAGTTCAGAGCTGGGGACTGAGGGTAATCAGGGTCTGATTGATTTCCTCCCCACTCTTCCCTCACACAACAAAGCTTTACTTAGTCTGATCTGCCAAACAAAGCATCTTGCCTGCTTTTCCCAACACCCTCCCCTCTGCGCCTCTTCCCCTTCCCCCCCACGCCACCCCCCCCCCCCCCGATTTGGGAAGAAATTTTTTTAAAAATCTTTATTGTTTAAAGTATTACATAGGTCTTCCTTTTTTCCCCATTAACCTCTTCCAGCCCACTCCCGTCCTCCCCACATTCCCCCACCCAGGCCCTCACCACCCATTGTCCACGGGTTATGCATATATGCATACAAGTTCATTGGTTGATCTCTTCCCAACCACCCTCCCCTGCAGGAAGGAATATTTTTAAACTAGCAATATCAACACCAAATGCAAGGAACTCATTATATTTGATTTCATTTCAAGTCACCTTACAAATACGGTCTTTGAAGCATAATGAAAACACCCAGAGACATAAACTGCTGCTTAAAACTGTCCCCTGTAGAACTTATCCCTTCTGCTGCAAAGAGATGAAAAGGAAAATATTTCCAAGTGTTCTGAGTTCCTTACTTAACAGTCATCATATGAACTTCAATTGAAAAAAAAAATGAAAGGGTCACCAAGTGTTTAAAAATCTGCTTTAATTATATTTTCATGAATTCCTGGAGAACATCATTGCAGTGAATGTTACAAAAAAGCAAAGAGAGACATCTGAACATGCAATAAAAAATGGATTCACAGTGAAAATAATGTATGTTGGTACTAAAATATAGTTACTTGGCTCCCTGAAGGAAAAGATTTCTTCTAATTATCTATTCACTTGGGTTTTATTAGGATAAAGTTTTGTGGGGGTATTTTTTCTCAAAAGCTTTGGGGGAAGTTTTCAATTTCTGCTACCATTGTTAGCGTCTGGAAGTCCCTCATTCTGAAAGCCATTATTTGCAGCCTATACTTTAATCAGGAAATTCAAAAGTACAACAAACAGCTTGGCAACTGTGTTCTTGTTACATACAAAGCCATTAGCAAAAATATGTAACAAAATTTATGTAAAACAAACAAGTTTGTCCTTATATACAGGAGTTTGCTTTATTCCACCCCCTCACCGCCTGCTGTAAAATGAGAGGGTCTTGTGGGGAGTAGCTACCAGAACTCTTATTCTGGTTGGGGGAGAGAAATCTTAAAAGGTAAGGTAACTATTTTAACCACCTTTTAACCGAGTTGTAAAAACGCATCTGGGCTTCTCAACAAAGGAGGAAAAATAGGAACGATGACAATGGCTTTAAAATAAAGAATTCATCCCTCCGTCCTTTGCAAAGCTTCTTAGCTAACTCAGGTTAGAGAGTGAAAATGACTACATTGGTGACTGTGATTAGAGGTGAAACATACGTACACTGTCACCCAAGCCACTGAGAAGGTTCGCATGTAGGGCATGCACATATTTCATACCGACAGAGTTTACACCACAGGGGAGAAAGATCATATAGGTGCGTGGGGAGTGCCACCCAAATCTATACATAAACGCAGGAAGAACTCATGGAGTCAAAGGGAGACCAAAACACAAGTTTAAAAATACCTGTCCAAATCATTTCAAAGCCAAGGACCCTGTTTACTGAAAACTCTTGACAGTCCTGCAGAATACCTTGTAAACATGGAAAATGCGGCGTTCTGTAACTCACAGTCTCAAAAGAAAATAAATTTCTGGTTTATCATCGCTGCTTGGCTCTGTCTGCAAAACAGAATGATCCGAACAAAGCTGATCGGTGTGGCCTGCGTGCAGGGCTGTGCATGCGCCCTCGGGGATGCCCCGGCCCTCCACGCCGCTGCCCTTGGCGTTGCTCAGGTAGCCGGCTATGTAGGAGCCCGTGGAGTGCCGGTTCCCCGCGGGCACGGGCGCCGTGGGCTTGTTTCGAAGAACCACTCCACCCACGTGGGTGGGGTTCACACCCTTTTGCTTGTTGGCTTCCTGCTTCTCCTTGGCCCGGCTGGCAATATTGCGTACTCTGCTCTGACTCCTGGATGACAGCTTTCTGACCAGCGCCCTGGGGAGCTGATTGGCATCCTGCTTTGCATACAGCACCTGGCAGCTGTCTTCCTGCTCCAAGGACACGAGTTTCCGCAGCTGCTCGGTCAGGGCATCCATAGGCTCTAACGACTGTGTCTTCACAGCCACACCCTTCCTGTCTCGGATGCCCGTTGTCACAAAACTCTTACTGATACACTGGTACTTGCTTTCGAAATTGCAGGCGATGTCCTCCGACGTTAAGTCCCCCAGGCTTTTGGATTTGCAAGGACTGGGCAGCTTCAGAACAGACAGAGGAGGCTGCTGGGGCTGCTTGGGCACAGGGGCATGCAAGTCTTGGGCACCAGACGGGGGCACACAGGTCTGGTTCATTTTTGCATCTGAATTGGAGAAGTGCTTGTGCATAAAACCAGCACCCTGATAGGCTCGACAAGAACGACTTTGATTTTTGACATCTTGACTGGTGTTGAATATTTCTGAGACAGGGGGGTGGAGAGTCGCTTTGCAGTAGCCGTTTCTCAAGCCTCTTTGGAAATGGTCCACCACATCCCGGCTGTACTTCAGTTGGAAAGGAGAAGCAAGGGGACTTGTGCCTTCTCGCCTATAATCATAGGTGGTTATAGACAGATTTTCTGAGTCTCCATCGATTTCCACAAGACTGCTCTCCCCAGAAATTAGACAGAGTGTGGGGTCAGCTATTCCGTCTCCCAGGGTCAGGTCGGGGGAAGGGGCAAGGCTGTTCTTCAGGATTTCCCAGTCTTTCCCATCGGTGGGACTTTTTGGTAACCAGCAGTGAGAAGTGTTAGAGGAACATGGCAGGTTGCTCTCCGTGGCCCCTGTCTTGGCCTTAGCAGAAGGGTCATCATCTAGTTTGGCTTTAGAGACGTTAGGAGTGCAGGTAGTTTCACAAACCACTGTGTGTGTTGAGCGTTCAGAGGCCTCAGGACTTAAGAATGCAATCCGCTCAGGAGTTGAGCAGAGTAAGGATGCCTTGGGTTTTCCCTTGGGAAAGTCATGCTGGAAGGGCATTTTTAGGTCCATGGTGGGCAAGGGAGGATGGTCTGACCTCATACGGGTGCCATGAAGAGGAGAAACAACTGTGAGGTTAGCCTGATCCCTGGTCTCCTCAAACTGGCCAATCAGTGCTGAGATGGAGCTGCCCGGCTCGTTCTCATTCGTTAAAGTGACATTGTCGATAAGATGGGAAATGTCACTCTCCTGCAGAATCTCGGTAGAATGTAAGTCAGGTGTGTCAGGACAGAGCGTAGAGACGTCTGACAAAGAAAAGGATGTTGTAGCTGGACCCTTACCGCAATTACCATCCACGTTTTTAATCTCCAGATCGCTCTGAGAAAGGATGCTTCCTGACAAGGTGCTTTTCCCTTCCACAAAGCCCCCGGTATTCCCGTTCTCCTTAGTTTTCACACCATACCGATCATGCGCTAGGTTAACTGCAGGATTAAGAGCCAAATGCTTCTTTGGGGAGAGGGATTTGTTGCGGCATCGGTGTTCCTGGCCATCACCTGACACTGTTGGTTTGGTTCTCCCACCCTTGGGACCTGGCACTCCCTCCTGTTCTGTGATTGACATCTTGGTAGTAGAAATAGCAGAGTCCCCTTGGCTGATGTCTTTGTGGAGGAGAGCGCTGGAGGAAGAGGACAACTTTTTGCTGAAATGTGGAAAGTGTTGATCTTTTATACTTGCCTTCCCATTTCTGCTGCCATCCTCATCTTCTGCTGAAGGAAACAAACAACATTTTAGGTGACATGTAGCATTTTATGTAGAAGCTGCACACACTCATGTTTGTCTTCAGACAGACAAATGGGGAATGTAAATCTGTCACATCATGAAAGGATATAATTATGGATTGCATAGATTTTCAACAAAGTATCTGTGTGATGAAGAAATGGTAAAATATATGTATAGGAATTTCACTGAAGTTTCCCTTTGAATATCTATTACATCAGTGGAGGATGTAATATTCATTATCCAAAAAAAAATGTCAATGAGTTACCATACTTTTATAGTGAGGATTACCTTAAGTTGTTTCCTATTCAGATTTGTACTACACAGAAGCATGGCAATAAAAACAGAACAAGACAGCTCTGTTAAACAAAGTATTGTGGTACCTGTAAGCAAGATACTATAAGTTTTCAGAGTTAAGCATGTTTTAAAAGTACAAATCATATTATTTTTAAAAATCATTCTGGCAAAAGATATAATTAATTTCTAAAACAAAATGGAAGGTGCAATAAATATATTAAAATGTCAATATATTGTCTTTAAAATGTAAAATTGAAGAATTGGTCACTAATTCTATCCCCTTGTGAATGCCTAATTTTCTGTTATCATATTTTTGTTTCTAGTACACACATTTTATATTGCAATCTCCCCTAAAAGAGGCAGCAAAATATCAAGCACAGTAAGGAAAACTGTAAAAACACACAAATCACAGCAATTTGGGGTACCCCATTATGCTTATTATAGTGCTAAGACAATATTGGGTGTTTAAGAATTCTTGAACATGTTCTTTTAATAGTATTTCAATGCTTTCAGTCATAATCTATAAAAAAGAATTTGTTTAATTATTAAATATTTTCCTAACTAAAAATATTCATCATAAATCTTTGATAAGCCCTAAAATTATAAGGAAAATAATTAAATTTCCAATGATGTTACCACTCAGAGTCAGGCACTGTAAGTTTTGTAGAGGAATAGAACTATGTATAGAATTTTCTATTCAGCATTTTCTCCACTTAATATTTTTTCTACATAATAACTTGAATCATTCCATGGCTATGTATTGCTCCATATTTGCCACAAATTTTATCTATACATATACATATACATATATGAAAGACTAACTTATATAATTGTTTTTTAAATGGAAAAAAGAAACATCACCTCAATATTACTTTCTAACTCACCTTAATAGTATTAACATCTTAATTTTGGCACTGACAGAATAACTACCAATTTTTATTAAATATAGTTTTATTTTCCCCCAAATGGAATTCTAATATAAATTTTGAATCATGTATTTCATCTTTCCTCTGATATTCCTCTTAGCAAAAATTTCAGGCTTTTAAACTCCATTTTCTCATTCAAATAAGCCATTCAAAAATTGGTGTGTCTCCCTAGAATATCTTTAAAATAAAAATTAATATAAGCAAAATGGTGCTTGTGAGAAAATCGATTATTGAAATTAGATTGCATGATAAAAGGATAATTTCCCAAAAGAAATAGATATCACATTCTACTTGTCTGAAATTATTCTGATTTAATTAAAACATACTTGTTTCAGAGACATCAAACGAAAACAGTTTTGGTGCTAAATTATCTAGAATAAGGCAGGAGGAGTCACCGACACAAGCCAAGAAGTCTTCAGTACACTGCAAGGCAAGCCTCACTGTTTATCAAGGTCTTGATATGAGTGAGGTATTATGGCCAAATTAGGGGAAAAGCTGGGTAACACGCTTGAGGAGCCTATGACCGGGAAGGAGCTGCAGGCAGGCTGCCTTCCCAGCAGCATCCAGGGATCAGGGAAATGAGGCCACAGGAAAACAGCGCCTGAGCTACCTCTGAGGAATCCGAGATGTTTAAGTGAAGATAGTAACTTGCTTTAACATCTGGTTTTCCCTCTTTCTCCATAAACATTCCCAGTCACAGAAATGTATTATATGTTGGGGAGAGAAATACAACTATATGCAACTTCAGAAAAATCAACACGTTCCTATTCCACCTGAGAGCAATCAGTATATATGGCACCCACCAGAAGACCAAGGTCTCTGCTCATAGTCTGCAGGCTTCACCTCTCCCTACCAGACCCAACAGATCCCTGCAGTCACACCTGCTGGTGTCTCATCACTCACTGTCACTCTCAGATGTCAATGTGAGTTGAGGCTTAAGCTCTTCTACCACCCTCTCCCCAAAGTTTAAAATCTGGTCTAAAAAAATCACTTTAGTCCGGCCGGTGTGGCTGAGTGTTGACCTATGAACAAGAAAGTTATCGTTCAATTCCCAGTCGGGCACATGCCCGGGGTTGCAGGCTCAATCCCCAGTAGGGGGCGTGCAGGAGGCAGCCGATCAATGATTCTCATCATTGGTGTTTCTATCTCTCTCTCCCTCTCCCTTCCTCTCTGAAATCAATACAAATATATTTTTTTAAATAACTTTTTAACAATTACTTATTTTTCAGTGTGTTTTACTTTGACTACAAAATGTCAACCACATTATAATAACTAGAGATCAAAATGCTGCTTACAGGGTCTCTTTTTAGAGAAACTTAAAGCATCTTACCCAGAGAGTTTTCTTTCCCGTCGGTGTCTTTTGCTGTTTCGGACACAGGCAGCGACAAAGCCCCTAGAAAGCACTTGTCAACAGGCATCGAGACCGGGCGCACCTGCAGGCTCCTCGTGGTCCTCCTCACAACACCATCCTGATCCCTTGCAGCCTCGGACACGGAGTCCTTTACCTCCACCACTTCCTGGAAGCCCATTTTGCTCTTTTTCCTGCCTTTGGCTGGCGCGCTGGCCGTGCGGCGCAGAATCCGATCTCCAATCGATCGCTTCCGCACATAATGGGAATTGCTTTCTGAAGAACTGTGCCTGGGATTCTTATTGAACAGTCCCTTCAGACCTTGGAGCTGTCTGTTCTGGAGATACAAAAGGACCAAACTCAAAGTCAGCAAAGGCAGTGGTGTCAACAACTGGCATTTCTTAAAATGACAGCTCCATGAAAAATGGAATACAAAATGGAAATTTTCAGCCATTGCAATATATTCAGACCAAGAAACCAGCAGCTCACAGCATGTTTGCACAACGTCATGCACGTCTGATCCATCTTTACTTTGTGAGGAAGGCAGCCTTCCAGAATTTTCCTACCCGGAGGTGACGAGGGGGCAGGAAAAGTTTTCACAGTTAACAGACTGTTAAAAACTTCAGCCGCCTTAAAGCAACGGATGTGTGTTTCAAACTGGTAAGCGGGAAAATGGAGTGACATGAGAGAGCATGAGGCCGTAACTGTTTAAAAAAGACATATGTCAGCAAGAACACAGCACCATGCTGAGCAACTACCTTTGTAGCTCCTAGAAAGTGCAATATAGTGTAACTGGGGTTGAGTATTAAAGGGCTCCACTGCAAGGAAAGAGACAAACAGACAAGACACAATTTGGGCTCAGTTCAAGGTGGCGCAAGTGAAAACAAAAGAAAAAAATGCATATATGCTTCTATAAACCCTGTCTTGAGGTTTCAGTGATTTTAGCCACGGGTTCATTCATGGCTCCACTCACCACCACCACCGCATGGCGGTTTGTGCATCCCAACCCAAACAGACCTTGAAAGTAATAAATTATATGACTTCTAAATGGACACTTGTTTAGGAGAGAGAAGTCTGTGGGACACTTTCTTTTTCATATTTTAATTTATTTCTGGACCAAGTTTTAAACAGCTTCTGAATTTTATTATTTCTGTCAAGTATGATAAATACTAGAAAAACTACTTCGTTACCCTGGGATTCCTAGAAATTCAAGAGTCATTTTTCGATCGTTTATATTTGTGTGTATTTAGGCCAGAGGAAAAGATATCAACAAGAAGCACAAATAGAAACCCAGGACTAAACGTAGAAAGTCGAGGAATAAAACTACATCACTCTTTGAAATTAGGATTCTGAGACATCCCATCACCTATGATTGATGTGAGAAACATACACGCCTAATCGAGGCTGAATTCATCCATTCCCTAGCAATTGCCTTGTAGTCGTGGTAATATCAATATCAGCCAACATTTTTGAGCATGTATTGTGTGCCAGGCAGATTTCCAAGGACAACATTGATTTATTTACGAGGTAGGTACTATTTTTACTCCACATTTACAGGTGAGAAAGCTGAGGCATAGAGGATGTATATGCCTCTGCAGCAAAGCTCCCTGCTACACATTCTTCCTGGGAAAGAACACAGCATTTCTGGGCCTTACTCAATGCTCCGAGTCCCTCCAAATCCCATCTGGTTCTGCAAGCGCCTTCCAGTGGCCAAGTCTCCAATTACTTGGCATGACCGGAGGACAGCCTGTTGATTTATCAATCTCAAGGGAGTCGCACAATGAAGTGAGCAGTGTCAGGAGAGAACTAGAATACATTTTTGTGGTCTTTTCTCTTAAGTCCTGTGGGTGGCTTTAAATTCATTCTTGAGTTTTAGGTTTTCTATGAAATACAATGGCATCCGATGAAGGCAGCCTGCCTAGAACTGGCTGGAATCATAGCTTGGCTAGTACAAGTAATTCATCAACAGCTGAGACACTACGTTTCCCATTGCAGCCAAGCGGGACTTTTTAAGAATTAAAATAAAAATCAACATTTAACTCTATCTCCACTGTGTTAACCAATGATCATCTGCGAGAATAGTTTTCTGTCAAGCCCAGAGGGGCCCGCTGAGGGGAAAGGAATGGGCAGAAGGAGCACATGTGGATGGGGACCTGAGCACAGGACAGCACAGGGCTCCCTGAGCTTCCCTACAATTTTCTGTTCGGAGGTACAGTCCTTTGACGCAGTCGGTCAATAAGTAACTTTGTTAAGGACAATACGATGGTTGCAAGCGGCTTTAACCCCTATAATCTTTCTCACCTTTCCAAAGATTTCATTGATTGTTATGTGGACAAATATGGATGCTTCTGTCAGCCCTTCCAAATAGACATGCCGGTAGCCTGATAAGAGAAGAGAAAGCAGTTTTCTTTCATTGAACTTGCATTTGGCTTCCCCACTGGTACAGTCAAATTAGGATTTTGACTTTCCATTTCACAGAGCATGTCAACACACATATTATCATACAACGCGTTTAACATGTCATACATTGTGTATGTCAACATCATATATTAAATCTTCCAAAGAAAACGGAATGGCCAGTCTAGAGAGGAAAGGCCAGGCCATACCTACCAGGCACTAAGCTGCTGAAGGTCACAGTTCTTTGCCCAACGAAGTCTCGTCCAATAGGATCGTGATCCCACACAAGGAACCGAACCAAAGCTATTTCTGGCATGTGTACTGTAAATGTCAGGGTTTCTTCCCACACAGGGTTAAATCCTCAGAGAAAACAGGAAAAGAAAAATCAGAAAAGCGAAGGGATTGGATAAAAATGAATTGGCCACAACATCTGCAAAGCAGGCAGTGAAAATTGCTTGCGATGGTTATTAAACTCATGCAGAAGGCCAAGCCGCCCCAGGATGCCTTACTGAAATAAAGCCTCGGAATTTACCCCATTGCTAGAAAATAATTGGTAAGAAAATTGCCTGTAAATGATTACATCAATTCTAATAATCTTTGATGCCAAATTGCACAGCAGAGAAAGCTCTTTCACGCAATATTCAGGATGCTTCAATGAGGTCAAAGTAGCTATAGTAGGGATCTCAGAATGTTTTAGCATAAAATGATAAAGGATGATTCCCACCCCCACCCCAACCCCCACCAGAGAATTATGCCTCTCGCGCATCAAAAATTCTACTGCTGCAATAATCACTAGCAACTGTTTCATAAGGAAGGTTTCTTGCAGATTTCAATGCTTAGATATCATGCTATTTAATTCTTAAGGCAATCTTCTAAGGGTGGCAGGTCAGGGTTTGTTTTTGTTTTCTTCTATTTAAGAAAAAGATGTATATTACCAACTTTCAAAAATTACACAGGTAACACATGCTCCTTTTTTTAAAGTAGGAAAATAAGTATTTATAAATAATTTTATAGTCGAAAAACTGATGTTCAGAGAAAATAATGTGCCTAGGGACACAATAAGTACCATAGCCTAATTAGACTATTCATTATTGATTTCCAGTGGCTTCTTGTGAAGCAAGACCTTAATACATTCAGATGACATATTTTATAGCTACTAAAAATAAATAGAAAGGTCTATAATTCAATTTAAATTCTAAAAGCAAAACTCCATTTATTTCTTGGTAAGATTCTCTCAGATAAAATAATTATTTAAATTGATAAAAATTTAAGTACTCTAAGTTTTTCCTTTCTAAAAATGAATATAAATTTTATTATAATGTATGCACTAAGGGGCATCAGCATTTAACCCTATTAAACACCTTAGTTAATGGCATAATTATGGACTGAAAAGCATTGAAATGCAGTCTCTCCTGAACAAAAGAAGAGATTTTCTTTGTCTTGACTTAGTGATGACCTCTCAATTACTTCTGGGTGAAGAAAATCTATTGAACACTGATAGGAAAATGCAATATAGGAAGTTCTTAAGCATGGTATTCAAGTAAGAAGTTTGTGCTACTCTTTTACCTCCAAATTCCTCTCCTTAAACTAGTGCTTAGAAAAACTCCCCTTCAGGCCTCTCTTTGAATTTCTAATGTCTCCAATGTTTTGAGAATTGAGAAGAACAAGTATGCAATAATGTTTATCAAACATATGAACAAACACAATTTTAGATGATTGCAAAGAAAAAGACACAAAGGTTGGGTAAAGAAAGCGGTCTTTACATTATAGCCAAAAAGACAAGAATGCTGCCCATTCACCATATATGCATATTTAAGAAGACTTGCCAGAGCATGCTGCCTGAGCCTTAGAGTTTTACATGCTCCAGAAAACAGGAGAAATCATCAGGACATAGATGTGCAAAATAAAAACACAATATAAAAACAGGACAGAGGCATTTTCCTAAGTGGAGTTTTAACTCAGCCCTTTAAAATATAATTTATTCTTTTCATGAGAAAAAAATTTTTGCTTTGAAAGCAAAAATCTTGAGAGCCTGTCCATCAAAACATCTCATTCATTAATCCATGTTTACTTAGTTTTATGTGTTGAATAGCCCTTAACATAAACTCAGATGGCAGTTATGGACTTTAGGAATTTCTGTTCTACGTAGACACATTTTTCTTTTTCAATGCAAATTCTGTTTCTAGAGCACCCTGATTAAAGTGAACACAGATTATCATCTTACCATTGTCATCCACCACACGGGTTTGATCTTTACAGCAATCTACTGGCAATCCAATAATTTCAACTTCAACAAAAGGATCGATGATCTACAAAGAGAGTGTATTATAATCATACATTTCTACACAGGTGTTAATTAATATGACAATACTGGCCAAAATGTCTACATTTCAGCAGTAACCCATTTTATTAGGTGCTTAACAAGAAAAAGAAACTGTACTAGGTGCAATAGATTCTGCTACATGGGACAGAAATTTAAAAAATGGATTAAATTTTTGTTTGCCAATATCTATTAGTGCTATACAAACTTTACCCAATGATCTACAACTTCAGTTCAGGGTATACACCCAACAGATATGTGAGCTTTTGTCTTTGTACAAATGCTCAGAGCAGCTGTATTCATAATAGTGACACTGGAAACAACCTAAATGTCTATTATGAGTGGGATGGATACATTATAAATATTCATTTAATGAATACTATACAACAATGAAAAAGAACAAATTTCTGCTATATAGACATAATGTTGAGCAAGCCAGACACAAAAGAGTGAATACTGTAAAAGTAAATTTACAAAAAGTTTGAGCACAGACAAAATTACTCTCTTATGATAGGGGTTGGTGTTTGATGAGGGAGCAGTACTGACTAGGAAGGACAGAAGCATTCTGGGGTGCTGTCTTTGAACTGGGTTACATAATCATTAATAGAGCTTATCCTCATTTGATTTGTGAATTTTAATGTAGTTAAATCAGTGGTACTATAATATAAATTTTAAAATATTTTAAAAGATTAAAAAATAATCAAAAGAAAAAATATGAGTGCTTATCTTCCTCCCACCCCCACCACATTACCCCTCCTCTAGGGGAAGGCATCCTGCATTGCTGACCATCTGGAAGCTCATTACCTGGTGCAGGTTCCAGATAATGAGCAATGAAGGACTCAAACCGAAGGGACCCAAGAGAGCTCAGAGAATGATTGAAGTCCAAGAAAATACATTTTTAGGAGCTTGGAGAGTAAAGAGAATATAGATTCCTCATCTGTGAGCCGGAGATAACAGTGTCTGCTTCACCCCACTGTAACCCAGGTGAGACACCAGAAGAATGGAATCAGATAGTGGCAGCAAGACCGGGAAGAGATTTGGTAGGTAGGCACCTAGCAGATGGTAATTTACTAGATGTGGAAAGAAAAAAAAAAGTGAAAATTAAAGATGACAATTTCTGATTGGGAGCAAGAAAAATTGTCATTTCATTCTCAGAA